TCTCCTGATCTCTAACTATTCCCTATTTCACAGACTGCCTCTTTTTCACCTTATATTTTATCTCTGTTGTTTCCCCCCTCCTTTTTCCTCCCCCTGCTCTCTTCCCTCCTCCCCACCCTGCTTTTCCTTTTGTCTTGCTTATCTCTACCTATTTACATTCTCACTGACACCCTACCACACTTTTAGCTTCTCTCATTCCTTGGAGTCTCGCACCCGCAGAGACTCCCTATGCCTGACAAAGGATGACTGTGCCTGAAAGCTTGCTAAGAACATTTTTCCAACTACTCACTTGGTCTAGTAAAAAAAAAATCACATCTACCCAAAGAACCTTGCCTGCCTATATCCTTAGACCAAAATGGCTACAACCAAAAACCCAGAAGTCTCTGGATGTAGTTGTCATACAATCAGAAAATTAGAGTTGGAAGGGATCTCAGGAGGTCTAATCCAGCATTTCTCAATCCCTCGGTCACAACAAAAGTGGGTCACAAGAATATATGAAAGGACCACAAACAAACTTTAAAAATCGACTCTCCTTTAAAATAGAAAAATGTGGGGGAACTGAGGCATCCCAGCCTGTGAAGGGCCGCTTTCCCCCGCCCCCCGCACCACATACTGTGGGGCTGAGGCCTGGGAGCAGCGGGTCGAGAGTGAGTGGCACTGGGTCGGGACTGGCCATCGATGTTTACAAACGGGTCCTGGTCAAAAAAGGTGGAGAACCACTGGACTAGATGACCTCCTGAGGTCCCTTGCAACCCTAATGTCCTATGATTCTGTGATTCAGAACAACTGCCCAATATCAGGAAAGTCAGGGTAGGTGGGGCTAGCTGAAGGGTTGGGGGTCCAGAAATCTGGAGGGGATTGCGGGGTCTGCCATGGGAGGTGGGGAGGCAGGACTCAAGGGTGGGGTAGGGGAGCAGGCGCTACCCACGAGTGGGGTGGGGGGAACAGACCTGACCTGCGGGTGGGGTGGGGATGCAGACATGACATGCGGGTGGAGTAGAGGGAGCAGGCATGACCCATGGGTGGGGTGAGGGGGCAAGTGTGACCAACAGGTGAGGTGGAGTCCCCACCCAGCCAACCTACACCTCCATCCCTCCCACTCCTCCCCCCCGCACCAGAACTTACTTGCTGGCCTCCAGCCAGTGATTGCTGATAAAAATGGCTGCACTCAGAGTAGCTTGTGGGATGGGTGTTGAGAGGACTGGCTGAGAAGGGCAAGAGGCTGGTGGGGGGTGCAAAAAATGGACCAGTGCAGGGGACAGGAGAAATGAAAATAGCAGTCCTGGGGCTGAGGCCATTTTATGCCCACCCCTGGTCTCGCTGCTTTTAAGAATTTCCAAGGCTGGAGAGTCCACAGCCTCTGTAGAATGCCTGTTCCAATGCTTAAATGCTCATCTCTGTAGAGTCTGTTCCAGTCTCATTGCGACAAAATTCTTCCAAATATCCAACCTACAGCAGTATGCCCCCAAGGACCTGAAAGAGGAGATTGATGTTCAACTGTCAAGAGTACAGGGCATTAAGTATGAGCCACAGCTGCTAGCTGAAGGTGAAGCCAGGCTCCTGCAGCTAGAGACCTCTGGCAGTCAGTCTTATAACTACTGTTTCTATAACTACTGTACAAAATGAAGGTACTGGACGCAGTCAGAAGGTGGATGGCAGATACCCCATGGCCTAATAAGAAGGAACTTCCAGGCCTACCTGCTGGAGCTGAGGAACCCCAGCACTCCCTTCAAAGGCATCCGCAAGACCTTAGTGGACACCCTGCTGGACGGGTCTTTGGGAAGACGGAGTATCTGAAGTACCAGGAAGCCCTGACTGAGCTAGTGAACATCATCAAGGCATGAGGAGGCAGCAGCCACTGCCGCGGCAGCACCAGTCAGCAGCCAAGGACCTCATGCTCTCGCCCAAGGTCTCCAGACCCTGACTATCCAGGTCACCTACTTGCCTCCCAGAGCTGAAGAGCTTCAAGGACAACTACAACACACTGGAGATCACCCTGTGAGCTCCAGGGACCTGCCGTGAGGAAAGCCCCTCTCCAGGTGGGGCACTGTGGCACAGACAGCACAGTGGTGGCCTGGCAGCAGAGAGACTGTAGGGCTCTGAGATTGCTCCCTGCCGTGTGGTGTTTTATCACCGGTGGCTCCACAGAGGCTTCGTCTGGGTGTCCCGTGGCCAGGAAGCTCCTTCCAAAGCAGTAGGCTGGCTGCAGAGCTGGAAGGTGACCAGCCCCCTGCATGGGCTCCCAAGAGATTCCAGACTCGTTCTCTTTCTCAGCTAGTGGCTTTGCGGGTGCTAGTCTTGTGCACAGACAACTTGATTAGCTGTAGCTTATTTATGAGATGATCTGAGTTAGTGCTCACCTCTGCCTGTGCCCTCACCCCCAGAGACTACCAGCAGGGCTGATCCTCCATCTGTCATGTCTGTGCAGGCTTGGGGTTCTCTCTGGACCTGCTCCCCTGTTCTTTCCAAAGGGGAAATACCTCTCCTTATGGTTCTCTACAGCAACAAGGGCCAGGTTCAATTTTGGGGGTACTAAATATATTTTACCTTGGCTCGAGCCCCCACCCAGTCTACCTGGGAAACACTAAATGAATCACTAGGGTGTCCAATAAAACCAACAACCTTTCCCTCGCAAGCAGTATGAACACAAGCATCTGATTTATTACAAACACCAAAACACAACATAAGCAAAACAAAAACACTGTCCTCGTTCAAAATAGACCCTATATCACCCCTACCCCTATTTGGGAGCCTTTGACCCCAGGCTCAACAGTCCGAGAGTGGGGGAGTCTCGACCCAAAAGAGGTTAGTCCCTGGGAATTTGGGTGTGTTGTCTCCCTCACTGTCGCTATCTGCCCTTCTGTGTTGCGAAGGGCCCTTTGGTGAGTTAATGTAGCTCCGCTGAGCTGCTAGGGGAGTGTCAATCTCTGCTCCCGCCCTTGATTCCCATTGATGTGACTCTGCCGAGCTGCTGCGGAGTGCCGATCTCTGCTCCTGCCTGAGTGGCTGTGGGGGTAAGCTACCAGCTCCTGCTCCGGACTCCCAGTCCAAACCCCACCCAGCTACTGGACTTGAAACCCTGGCTCTCTGTACCACCTGGCCTCAAGCTCCAGTAAGCATTCCAGCATCCCCCCTCCCCTCCACAGGGGATCCAGGGGAAAAACAAAGAGCAAGCCCCCCAGCCCAGGTGGCCTGACCCTTAAGTTTAAATTTAAACCTTAAATAAAAAGTATCTAGCGTTCTAGAGTTTTGTGTTTCTGAACCTTAAATAATTTTTCTGACCTCCTCACAGGCCCCCAGGCAAGAAGCAGCCTCACTGGAGCACTGCTAATGCAGACCAATCAATTCAAAGGGAGTTGGCACTCCAGGATTTGGCCAGAGTCATTCAACTGGTTTTACAAGTTCTGGTGAGGAATCTTAAGGCAGTGGTCTGCGGGGGATGGGAGGTGGTCCTCTCCAGTCCTAGAGGAGGCACAACATACAACAATCATACAGAAAACATGATCATGCTTTACAGCCAAGCAAGATGCAGTGACATGAAAAAAACAAATCGTATACTAAAAGTCAAACATCTACTAAACATATTTTAATTTATTTCAAAAAATATTTTTGTCCTGATTTACTTGTGTTTATGCAGTGGTAAGGTGTGGGGTATGGCTGTGTGTAGGGTATGTTGGGGCTGTGGGTGTATGTATATATGGGGGTTCTTGGAGGGTGAGGTTTGTGGGGCATGAGGAAGGGTGGGGGCGTGGGGACCCCTCCCATGGCACACAGCCCCTGCCATTGGACAGCAGTAGCAAGCAGCAGGCCTCAGGGTGCTCATGACCTGTGCAAGTGCAGCTGCCCAGCAGCGTCTGGTTCGAGCCAGTTCCAGGAGCTACACATGGCGTCAAGGAGCAGAACCAGGCCAATACACCTCTATTGCACAGGGCTCATGTGCAGCTGCCAGGATTCTCACACCCCTGGGGAGAAGCCCCACGGGGTGGAACTGGCAGCCTGGCCCCACTTCCTGCCACCATGTGCAGGTCCCGGGATTCTGCTGGGAAGCAGGCAGTGGGGCTTCCTGCAACTTCCAGCAGAGTCCCAGGATGTGCACATAGAGGCAGGGAGCAAGGAAGGCAGCTGGCTCCATCACGTGGGGCTTCCCCTCCTGGTGGTGTGCGAGTCCTGGGAGTTGCACATCAGCTGCAAGGAGCCCTGCTTTTTATTTTTTCTTCTAAAATATTTATTTCTATATACATTATCTATATATATCTCCACCTCCAACACTCTGCCAAGTGGCCTCTGTGGTTCACTGGTTGCACCACGGAACCATGCATCCATCTCCATACCCATACCCCCACCCACTGCCCTCCTCAAAGGGTCTACTCCTGAAAAAATCTATGCTAGACCCCTCTCCACCAGATGAGGTCTGCCATTTCTTTCCCATCATCCTCTTCTGTCTTACATGATGGAACCAGGCTGACCCAAGCTCCATAGTCCTGCCCAGCTGCAGCTCCCCCCCTGCACTGCTTCCCTACCTGCTGCCCTAGAGCAAGTGCTACAGAAGGGACACAAGGAGGAGCCAAGCAGCAGTGGCAGCAGCAGCCCCACCCAGAAGCTGTGTGTATTGGCCAGGGCTGGGGCCCTCCCATGCACGAGAGTGGGAGTGAAGCATACAGGCTGGGCGGGGTACAATTAATTGGTAGGTGCCCGCAGGCTGGATGAAAGTACCTGGTGGGCCGAATCTACCCTACAGGCT